TTATAATAATAGTTATATAGTAGTATAAGTTAATTAATATAGTATATTGTGTAGTAGTACGTATTAGTAATTAATACTAATATATGTGTATATATATATATATATATATATATATATATATATATATGCGATTTTTTTAAATTTGTCAAAAAAAAAGAAAGCATATATCATAACACGGTATCTCCATTTTGTAAATAAGTATTTATGGATCCACAAGATTTTTCATTTTTTTAGCTCCAAAATTGATAGTCGGTGGTGCAATTTGATTTTAAAACCACCATGAATATTTTCAATGCCAAAGTATTTTCTGGACGAGGATTTAAGGTGAGGCTTTAATTTATTTTCATAAAGCCTAGGCATTATATAAATTAGATCCTAATTTTTTTTTCCTTTTTAAAAAGTCTGTTAAATTTTTCTAGATCCCATCTAGATCCTATAAGTCTATATTTTTATTTTTATTTTTATTTTTATTTCATTTTATTTATTTTTAAATATTTTTTTGATCACCAATTCGGACCAATCTAGACTTGATCCAAAATACCAATCCAACTATCCAACATGCATATGCGGGTGAACGATCTGCCCCACCAATCCTGGTTTTAGAACACTGATACGAATAATAAGGTGAGGTTTGTATAAGGTGCACTATACTTTACAAGCAAGGCGGACCTATAAATTTTGCTAGAAGACGTAGCTCTAGTTTCGAAATCCTAAAATAGCGTGAAAATCTATATTCAACTACACTTATGAAATTTAAAATTTCAAAATTGCTGCAGATCAAGTAACACTATAAACACTTGAAAATCATGAAAGTAGACGGTCTAAATACCTTGTTTCAAGATGCACTAATTTTAGGATTTGAAATTCAATTATATATAGATATATATGGAAAGGTTTTCCCAATGCCTATACGAAAAAATGAACAGTGGTTTCGCCTATCCTCATCACCATCTAAAATAAATTGCACGCTCACAATTGTTCAGTAGTATTCCATTTTCCATTTTTTTTTTTTTACAAATCAAAATGACCTGAAATTTGGAACGTATGTACATCTTAGTGAGGTGAACCTAATAAAAATATAAAAAAAATAATTCGTGAAAAAATATTGAACAAACTACCTTCGAAACTTTTTAGGGGTATTTTGATCATTTTTTTCATGTAAAATATTTTTTTGATATTTTTTGTAGATTCGCCTATTTTTTATAAACACATGCTCCAAATTTCAAGTCATTCCGATTTGTAAAAAAATGAAAAATAAAACACTACCGGGCAATCGTGACCGTACGATGAAATTTGGATAGTGATGAGGGCAGGCGAAATCATTGTTCATTTTTGCCTATAGGCGTTTTGTAGTATCTTCGTATACATATGTATATTCATACAGCTCAAGGTCTATATGGTTAATTATAATTCTTTCTAACTTTGGAACACTCTTTTCTACTGGATTTTTAAGATTCACTTTACATCTATTGTATAAATTGCAATCCTAATAAGAAAAAGAGTAACATATGGCGAGACCATTTACCTTTGATACAATGTGGTCACAATTAATTTTAACCGTTGGATGTCAAATTGGGTGGCTGCATTTATTTAATGGACTAAACTCAAAGTTAAAAAGAAATTTTCTCGAACTTATCAGATTTCACATCGGATGGTTATTAATAAATGTGACATTCTTATACCAAAAGCAAGAGTAATGATCTTATAGGACCCTACCACACTGAATAGTAGGGGACCCTGAGGGTCATTGTTAAATCGCAGCCTCAGCCTCGAGATTGGGATTGGGATTGGGAATGGGGTTCCCATGGCAACTTGCCTCATAGCAGGTTACTGGCAAAGACACAGGTTTTGTACCTTATACGTCTCTCTCTCGTACGGCTTTTCTCAACCCAAACGTGTTGGACTCTATTTCTTCTCCCATATCTCTCTCTCCTTCCTGCTTCAAACCCCATTATCAGCCTCATCTCTCTTTCCTTCTTAAGTTCTCTGGTCTCCTCTACTCTCTTTTTGTCCCTCTCTAGCCATTAGTCTCTCCTTCTCTTGCCTCCAATGCACACACACCATCTCTCTCACCATTAGCGTCTCTCTCTCCATTAGCTTCTCTCTCTGCTGGATGTCTACATAGCACGAGCCATCTCAGACAAAAGAGGAGAGTTACCATTGAGATCAGATTCATGTATGTGGAATCCAATACTCCAAATTCTGGTTTTTCTTATTGGGCATACAAAAATCATTTCTCGGTAGCAGAGTGGTGGAAAACACAGTGCTTACCCTTTTCTCCTTTTTATTTTCTTAGTTATGTATATGATTGTTGCTGTTGTGTGACCGTCACTCTTCATTTTTGCGCATGTATTTATCATGGTGTCCATATTGTTGAGCAGGTGCGAGGCTCGTCTCTATACCTGGTGGGGGTTTCTCCTATTAATAATGCACTTCACAAGTTGACGACAATCGTGTTATATGTGCTTCAAAAGTCAATGTCGCTATGCTTATTTTAAGTGTATTTCTTGTTCCT